TATTGTTATTGCAAATCACTCAGGAAAGTCTTAGTAGCAATCTTTTGTCACAGACAGTCATTTGGAATAATAATGTTACATTATATCCCTGGGTTTACTTTTCAAAACTTTAAAATACTGGGACAATTTTTTTGTCGGGTTATTTAGAGTAAGAAATTTTTTTTTTGTCGTACAACTACTGAAAGGATTTAATTTTTAAATAAATATCTGTCATTGTCAATTTTTTGGACGGTGAAAAAATAGTTTTATGTTTTTTGGAAGAATATTATTTTTTGTGTTACTGTTATGGTATCAGGCGTCTTGATCTTCTGACAAAATATCCCAAAAAAAATATCCCCGAGACTAAATATCATTTGTTGAAATGCCATTCATAAGTGTTAAAATAAAATTGATAATATTTTTCAAATTATTTTTTTTTTTTTTTTTTTAATTTGTTTAAAGTCGCATAAACTACTAAGGTCATGAGCGATTACGGTAGGGGGTAAACTTTTGAGATTGGAACTCGTTTGTATTTCTTGGGCTGAGCAGAATAATACACTTAAATACTGAAAATATTCATTGGTGTACGCCGGACTCGAACCCGGTCTAATGCTTTGGTAGCAAGGGTCGGATCCGACAGGCTACTGCGCGCCTCTTCAAATTTATTATTTTGAATTATTTTATTAAAAAATTTAATTATTTAAGATATTTTGTCCGGGATATTTTTTTAAGACAAATTACCCTTTTCAAAATTATATTCTTGGTTCAAGAATTTTTCTCTTGAATCAAGTTAATTTTTTTTTTCAGTGTAGGTTCCTACTCAAATCAAGAATATTAAGTTCTTCAAAATTATATACTTGATTCAAGAACATTTTTTTTTTCTATGTACTGTTATTTGTCGGCAAAGAATCAAAAAATTAGTGTAATTTTTTATAAAAATAATTCAAGTTGCACCTGCTGATGAAGATACAGATAAAGCCCTTACAGACGCTACGTACACTGTAATAACACTAAACTTAATTATCAATTTCACATTAAAAAATAACGATTCCGCAATATGGTGCAAAACGGGTTATATTAATTTTATACCTGCATATTACACAGATCTCAAGATATCTGTTTAGGTGTTGCGTGTAAAATTGTGTTCATAATATTATTTACTAAAATACTATATTATATACATAAAAATATTTTTTTGTTAAAGATGGGATCTTTTAACACGAAGACTACTTGTTGATGAAGAAAGACAGATTAACGGTACGTCGGCAGGTAAGATGGATGGTCAAGACACCAAAACTTAACTCGAGATTCAATTGACCCCTGTCGAAATATTTAACCTGTTATTTATTATTTTTACCATTTATTTTATCCGATGGTTCATTTTTTATTGGCTTCAATTCATTGGAATATTAAATTATTTAGATATGCAAATACGGAGGTTCAAATATTTCAAAAGTATCACTCTAAATATTTATTTCAACAGGATTTGTTTCAACAAATTGATATTTGTTTAAAAATATACAAAGTGCTAGTTAGCAGCAACTGAATTTAATTATGACGTATATGCATGAAACTTTCGGCTTAGATAAAGAACTTATAGAAACATGTATCACTGCTGGTCTATTATTGTACGGAACACTTTATGAATACATGATCAGCTCTATAGACTAGAGCATATATTTTAGTATATCTGCGATCAATACACATATGTCCAAACGTAAACGCTTTGTGCATATATTATGACAAGCGAATTATGTAAAAACTATTACAGGCTATTATTTTTTATTTTTCCTCTATTTTTTCTGATTGTTCTATTTATAGGCGGCAATTTAGAATGGTGAATTATGAAAGATAATTTCTTCTTTATAAAGAAATCGAATTTATCGGGAAGTATTACTTTATTTTATACTCATGTTTTATTTAATAAAAGCGGTAAGTAAATTTTGGTTCTGCGAAGCCAAAAAATCGTATAAAAAATTTTTTTTTTCCTTCAATCAACTTGAAAATATTTATGAAGTATAAATGTGTGAAAAAAATAAAAAAAAAATTTTTTTTGACATTCTCTTAGGTTTTAAAATTTTTTTTTCTCAAAGCCAAAAAAGCGTAAGTCAAAAAAATGTTACATATTAGGGTACAAAAAAATTTTTTTGAAGAATTAAAAGTGCGTAAAATTTGAACTACGCCTTTTTAACATTAGTAATGCAAAATAATTTGATAAATTTTTATTATTCTGCAGTAATAAATAATTAGCGGGATGAAAGATTGGTAAATAACAATCCAGATGACGATTGACCCGAGGATAATCAGCATAATCAAAACTGTGAGCTAAATTAATCCCTCATTTAGTAGAATTTGTGGGGCGAATGATCCCCGACACACAAAAGCGTGATAATAACTACTTGGGTAGCTGCGAGCGGTTATTATATATCCCCAGTTGTACACGTACGAATTCTATATCTATCGACATATGCCTACAACCCTTCTGTTTAAGTTTATAAAGTTTGTAATTGTGTATAAAACTTGTCGTTTATCACTCGCTCGTTAACTTTTGCCTGCAGTTTTCAACTTGAGCAATTAAATTTTCATCAAATACTCGCTCTCGTAATTTTCTTGTCACAATTTATAAAATTGTGAGTTATTTTACGTGCAAAAAATTAGAACAATTTTCCTTTGTAAAAATCGATATTTTAATTTTATGTCCTTTTTTATTTAAATGATAGCAAAGAAAAGATTTGAAGTTCTAAGAAGAAAAATGAGAGTAATAAAAAAATATTTATGCCCGTAGAATGAAGACAAGTTTAAATTACCGTGAGGAAAAAAATTATCTAAGGTCGAATATTAATGTCTAACAACAATTATCAGCTTGATTTAATTCAATTTAGCTGATAATAATTGTGTTAAACTAATAAAATCAGAAAATACTGTCTAATGACATATTTATCAAGTTAGTCATCAGCATATACAAGTAATATCAAAGTTCATGTAATTAGAACAAATAAATAAAAATAATTGTTATCTTTATTAAATTAACACTCTTAATGACTTTCGTAGAATTTTAACATAACTGTCGTTAAAAAAGTACAAAAGTAATCGTTATTTTAGTTGAAATGTCTCATGAAAAATGCATGAGTTAGAAAAATTCGTTCGATTTTAGATTCACAGTAAGCTTCTGAATTTCGGAGCTGTGAGAAAATAACTATACATCTTTTCAACAATAAAGTCTCGATCGTGAACAGTTGATTGGGTATCAATGACCCCGCAGGAAGTTCAAGTGTTAGCAATACTGCACCATGTATATTGATATCTTAGCTCTCGTATAAAGGTCACATGTAGTTATAAATATTTCATCTATACCTTTGCAGCTTTTTTATAGAAGACTCTTCAGTTTCATAGTAACCGGTATCAGAAAAATGAAGTTGCTGCCGTTTGCAATCATTCACACGATATTCTCAGTTATACCCACTTACTGTAGCACAATTGAGATTATAATTTCAAATCAATAAAACAGAGTTTATTTTTATTTTACTTTAAAGATTGACAAATTAATTTTGAATAATTTTGCTATTTTACGACTCAGCTTGTCAAAAAATTTTTAAATAGTATATGTATTATTTACTTTTTCTTTGCACAATTTTTGAGCTTGAATTTAAAGATCAGCTAAATTGAGCAAATAATTAAAAAATGACCGAAATTCAAATTTTTGAAAAATTACAATTACAGTTTTTTTAGTTTTGTTTTAAATAATTTTTGAACTTTATGACCTATCAAATTTTTGTAAAATTTATCTGAAAGTTTATTTGATAAGCTTTAATTTGCATGTCTAATTATTTTTTTTAACTAAAAATTACTGATTTTTCCTTTAATTTGAAAAATTAAAGGATGTTTTGATTTGATGATTTTGCAAATTTTTGGACTCTTAAATTAATACTTTATATTTTTTTTTTTTCACCCCAAAAATTAATTTAACAAAAAAACAATCCTTGAAAAAAAAAAAAAGGAATTAAAAAACATAATCGAGAATTCACAAGCTCGATTCAAAACTAAAAATTCCCACCGCAATGCCGAAAAAAATGTTAAATAAGTGTTCGAAGACTGTTGCTCGGTGGATCGATTAAAGAATGAATAAAAAGGCGATTAGGCATGTGCTCAGATCATCAGTGAGTCAGTTAGCCAAAGGTATTCGAAGTCGTTGGAGCAACGATATGTCCTGCCAGGCACGAGCAGCAGGAAGTCTCTTCTAGATCGCGCAACAAGTGGCTCCCAAGCCACTTTCTTCTCTCCCTATTTTCTTTCATTATTTTATTTAACTTTTTTTATTCTTACTTATCCTTAAGAATGTCTTCCAGCAAACGACTCGAATGAGTCAAGGGACAGCTTCAAAAATATAATGACGAGTGACAACTTGCAAACTCATGGTATTACCGAGATAAATCATGTGATAATCAATACGTGATATATGTTACATATATTTTTCTTCATTTAGTAGACACATATTTCTTTTTCTTTATCCCGGGGCTTTAAATTTTTTAAACTTTGAATAATTATTGTTTTGGGATTTATAAAACCCAGGATCTTCGGAGATTGCGATCATTTATAGATGATAACATGATTAATGAACTTCTGTGAGATTATAATAATAATAATAATAATAAATTAAAGAGAAGAAAGTGACAATAATTGAGGACAGTGATTCATGTTTTACAATTGTAATCATAATCATAATTCAAGATTAATGATTTAATAAAAAGATCACGAGATATAAGGGATGTAGTTTGATGTTTGATCTTTAGACCCCAATATTAGGTCTCACAATAGTACCGAAGGTTTTAATATACTTCATGGTGGTATTACAACTACAGTTAGATGATAAATTTTATTAAAAAATTTTTTTAAAGCATTGTAATTGCAATTGGTTCAATTGCTTCCATTAGATTTATTTATTGGTTGATTTTCAATGCCAAGACGAAGGCTTGAAAAAGATTTTGGTACATCATTATTGAAATATGTGCATTAAATAACATTCAAAAAATAAATTTGACAGGATAAAAATGCCTTGCTGTTGTCGCAACGATGAATAAAGTGTCTTTGAATTCACTGACGCAAATAGAGGTGATAGGCTGATGATCCTGGGATAATTTTATTGATTTTGATTCATCGTCATCAAGATTTGTTGTGCCTTCTTTTTTATTAATACGAAATATTTGCAAAAATCCTAGAATAATAAATTATGCTTATAAAAATTATTTATTATTGTTAAGCTAAAAGTTAACTTGTACCATTTTCATAACCGATGAATAAAATGTTTGCATGAATGGTATATGCTGTTACTTTATTGATATTATCGTAAGTAGTGTGGCGTTTTAAGGTCACAGGGTTTCCCATTCTTCTTTCGTTATCTGACCACTGGCCGAATTTTAATAGACCATCTAAAAAAAAAACAGCACTCGGAAAAAATCAGCCATAATAAATACTGAAATTTAGTGTTAGAATTTAAAATGAGTCAATTGTACTACCAGCGTTGCTCATTATTATATTTTTAACTGGTACAAGAATTCCAGCGATTTGATCTCTGGCATTCTTCATAAGATCTATCCTCACTATAGGTATGTGGTCAAATTGCAATTGCTCCGATAATGGAGTGGTCAATGTCATTACTACGTATCCCATATTACCTACCTCACCAACTACGAATAACTAGAAAAATTTTAATTGCAACTCTAATTAATTTTATCATCTTAAATTAAGTGAAAAAATTCTTGAATTAAAAAGTTGTTTTTGGTTCAAAAAAATTTTTCTTAATTTAAAAATTTTCTGAAATTGATATTTTTTATTCAAGAATTTTTTTTTTTCTTTAATCAAATTAATTTTTTATTAGTGATTCTCTTAAAAATAATTTAGTTAAGTCACCTTATCATTTTCTGAAGACATGTAAGCTATAGTACAATTAGGATTTTTTGAAAATGATTTACAAGTTTTAGCATCAACTGCATTAAGATTGGAAGTATTGGTTGTTGATTTGAGTTCATACTCCGTTATTATTCTTTCTCTTTCAGTAAAAAATTTATGGTGAGTGCCAACACTATAAAATTGATTTTAAAAATCTTTATGTCTATTCTATTAAATCATTAAAAAAATTCAAAATTATAATTAGTAATCACCAGATAGTATTGAAATCAATCGTCTCAAAAGCCGGATAGATAAGTTTTTTCCTATATTTGACATCAATAAATCGCAAACGATTATTTAGCAAACGTACAATGGCGATTAAATGACCTGATTCTTAATAAGATAAAAAAATATTAATGCAGTTAAATATGAATAAAAAAAAAAGATTGATTTGGAAAAATAAAAATTTACCATTTTGATAAAAATGAATTGATTTATTAGTAGACCCCAGACCAAAATCAGTCTGATAAATTGGCGATTTAATATTATCAATTCGATAAATAAATACCGTTTCCGCAGTGCATATGGCGAAATAATTTTCTGTCGTAAAAATGAATCAATTAAAAATTGAATCAATTTCAAGTATAAAAATATAATTAAACTACGAACCTTCTGCTGCAGCGCAGACAATATTTACCGGATTGTCTCCTTGATTAATGATCTTTCTTTCAATTTTCATGTTATAAAAGTACCCGTCTAAAGGTTTTGTCAATAATTGCCAGCACCAAAAGGAAGAAATAAATTTATTGCACAATTTTGACTTACGCAATTGTGAACCATGCAATTCTGACTCACGAAGTTCTAAGCGTGAATGTCTTCGTTTAATAGACGGAAAAAGATTCTTTAAAATTCGGTACCTCCAAGGAGACACTTCATCGATTACATCTTGCAAATTTTGCCCAGTTAAATTATTGATAAATTCATTCATTCCGCTTTTGACTTGTGTCATTCTTTGCAAAGACGGTTCAAAATTTCTGACATTTCTCTCGTTAAAATAAAGCGAATCTTGGTCGAGGATGTTCCAATCTTCAAAACCATTCGCATGATCCATAAACAAATTTAACGCCATTTTAGTCACTTGCACTCCACGAAGGATAACTTTGATGTGAGCTAATAGTGTGATAATTTCAAACTTATACCGGTGAGTTTGTGATAATTAGAAAGAAAAAACTCAACACAATTGAAATTGACTATCGATATGACAAAGTAGGTATTGACTGAATTAAAAATCACGTACCTTGTGATAAAAATGAATTAATTCCTAATACTGTTATCTCCACAACTTTGATATCAAAAAGAAACAAATCAAAAAATGGTTAATATATACAGAGATATATAATATTCAAATGTCTTCAACACAATTTTGTCCAATGATAAAATTTGCGACAAAGTGATTCATCATTTGTTGAAGAAAAGTTGCAGAAACGAATTTTACAAAACTTTCTCAAAATTTATATTGCTTTATATTTAAATAAATTTATTCTGTTGCAAGTAAACTATTTACCTTTCTGAGATTTACTAATAAAAGCACGAATAAATAATGTGTAATATATGAATAATATTTATATTTATACGAATCTGTTTAAGCGCGAAGAGTACCGCAATGATGTTACGATGAGACAAGAGTAGAGCGCAAAACGATTAGTTACACGCGACATTCAACTTTATTTTTGTTCTTCCTACACATTGGTATGGTAATTTTCGTCTGAAGAGAACTAAAACTGTGTGAGTGACACTAAAACTCCGAACGATTGCCCGGTAGGCAAAAAAATATTAAATACATATATTTATATGTTTATATGTATGATTCCACAATTTATCTCTTTACACTACTTTTGTCATTATTTTTTGGTTCCAGTTTTGTGAGCCCCGGGGTGCTGTTTTGATTTGCGAGTGAGATGCAAGAAAACACCTGTCAGTCTCTATACCGTCGTTTATTATTATTTAAAAATAATTTCTTTAAACATTTGTTAAATTTACACTGTTTGTTAAATTTTTGCTATTGCATTTTTAAAAACTCTCTAAATTATTAACATTTAAATTCTTTTTGGTTTTTAATTTACTAAATATCTATTGAGTTTAGTTAAAAGTGACCTTGTTTTCGGGCTGGTTGCTTATATACAAGACGTGCGTACGACAAATTAATATATCCGCTTTTTAATCCCAATGTAGAAGGTTAACTTCAGACAAGAGACAAGGGAGACGAGAAAAATGAAAGATAAGACTAGAGGGCCACGCGACAGGAAGACGTTTCTTTTATTCAGAGTAACGACTCCTAAGTATGTAAGATAAAAACAAAATAAAAAACTATTTAATAAGATAAATAAATTGTTTCCTTTGTCTTTTGCTTTCCTTCGTGTAAAATAAAACTAAAAGCGCTCGGAGCTGGTTAATTCTTTGTAAAAACAAACCATTCTTTAAATCTTTACTACGGTGATAAAGTTCTGGCAAGAGTTTTAGTCTCACATTAATGAATAAATTATTTTGTAGCAGGATTGTAAAATTTTTTATTTAAAAATTTTGCATTTTTATTAAAAATTAATCATTTTTCTAATTCAATTATTGCATTAAAAAAAAATTTAATTAATTAATAAATCTTGTAATTTTTTTGTATAGTTAAAATATTCTATTCTATATCCATAACACCGTAACGCATGAAGCTAAACAGTTTAATTTGTGATAATATTTTGTATTAATAAAACAAGCTTTGAATTTTTATTAAATGGCAAATGTAATCTTGAGAGGTGCGAATCGCTTGTAAACCTTTCGGTTACCCTACGGGGCGTCTATCATCCTAATTCTCAAGCAACTGCTGTTAACTAACTCTAACACCTTGAACATAAATATCAGGCATATTTTTATTTTTTTTAGAAAGCTACAATTTTTTTTTTTTAATTATTCTTAGAGATTTCTTCATAATTTTGTCTTCAAATTCTCACCCTCAAAAAACCATTTGTTAATTGAAGGTATAATAATTATTTTATCAACTTAAAAATCAAAGTCGTAAAACATTATATACTAATAAACATGTTATTGAAGTTTAATATCAGACAAAGTAAATTATTATGGAATTTTCCACTTTGACAAATAACAATCGACTTCACAAACCATAATGGTGCCAATATAATAATAATAATGATGAATCTACTGCGCATTTTAAGGCATTGTTTTCGAATGGACGAGGATGGAATTTTTTTTTTTTAATTGTTAAAAACGCTTCGCACTGGAGTCTAATCAGGTAATTAATTAAAGTAATTAATAAATTAATAAGCCAAGATTTAATGATAGATGCTTGTACTAAAATTTTTGGTAGTAGTCATCCTAGTTTGTATCATATAAACTTTAAGGACATATTTTATCCAATTAACAAGCTTCTGCTAACACTTGTACTCGAATTGAGAATTACATGTGTGATACTTGTATGTACCAAGGCATTGTCAAATGCGTAGGCAGCACATTATCCTGCGGGAGTCCAAAGTCGTCTTTTAAGCAGTGATATGTTAACAACACGCGCCACGTATCAAGGGCACAAACGTGTTGTATCGCGTCATCGACATCGCGTGTGTTACAATTTCTCTCTTCGAACTAAACGTACAATTACGACTTTTTATAAGTTTAAGTGGTAGCTCTGTTACTTTTAAAACGTCTGCAAACAAAAAGCTTGTTATTACAGTAACTGCTACTCTATACACTAAATTCACTTTTAAATTTAAATTTTTTCGTTAAATTTCAAATTTACTTGGAAACTTTTTTGCAGCTGTTAAACTTTTTGCCACGTTCAACATCTCTAGCAATATTTATACATATGATCATCTTAATCATTGCCAAATTTTTTCAGGACATTTTTCTAAAAATTGTTTCAATTTTTTTACAATAATGTATTTTTTTTTTCCAACAATAATTCTACAAAATTGAATTTTTTGCAGAAAAAAACATTTTCATATTTTTCTATTCATTTTTTACAATTTTAGTAAAAATCTCTATCAAATTTTTTTTTATTCCAATATTTTGGTAAAAAAAATCAAAAATATTTATGATAAAGTCAAACTAGTTAAAAACTATAAAATTAATCATTGTCAAATTTTTTTTTTTAAAAAAGATACAAGCCTAAAAATCATCAAGCTTATTAGTTGTAAAAATACAATTTAATAAAACTTGACACAAAAATCTAACTTAATATCAAAAATGATTGATCCCATGTTTATACCGAACTTGCTTCGTACCCACGTGGAATAATTCAAATCAAAATCATCAAGAGTACCGTTTAGTTTATACGATCTACCATAAAAGCGAACAATAAACATTTATCTCTAAACTAATACACATAATAATGAATGTGTTGACGAAATATAAAGTCACCCTTGGTTGACGCGGGCACCGTAACTAATCGATGAACACGCAGCCGGTCTCGTTGGATCAAAACGAATTCACGGTTATCATAAGACTCATACATGCATTCATAGCAATTTCTTTTATTTCCTCCCTCCAGGCTCGATCGCACTTTTAGTTACGCAGCATCTCAAACATTAAAATTATTTCATTTTTTCGTCTCGCGGCCAAAATTCGCGATCAAAATTTGAAATATTTGAGGTTCTATCTAACTGAAATAAATTTAGGAGCACACTCAAGACTCAGTAAATTGTTTACAGGTCACGTGACAAAAAAGGGTGGTCACTCAAGGCAACACAGATGCAAGAGTTGAGTGTGTGCATTATCAAATCGACAGGAGAAATAAGCGGTGAGCTGTAAGAGCTTGGGGTTTCCCATGACGACTTTTAATTTGGTTTACTGGTCACCGGACATCAGAGATACTTAATTTGTTCAATGAGATGTATGTTTTTAACTTTCAACTCTGTTAAATCGAACGAGAGTAATTCAAGATTTTATTTTATTAATTTAATTAATTGAATATAAATATTTTTTTTTTGATCAAACAATTTGTTTATTTTTTAATTAATGCAAAGCCAAGGCTAAATGGCAATAAAAAAATACACACAAAATTTTACAATCACATTTTGCATTTGTATGTAACAAAATAAAATTTAGGTAAAGATATTTAAGGTAGATAGTATTTTTAATACAAAGATAAAAATAAAAATATTGAATCCTGACAATTAAAGAATCTTTAAAGATAAAGTAAAAAATTAAATTATAAAAAAAGCTGCAATTAATTAAATTTGTTTCAATAAATTAAAAAATTACTGGCAAAATTTTGTTCTGTAAATTTGAAGCTAAAAAAATTTTATCCGCTCGATAAAACACGAAACCCATGAGTTTCCCACGGCAAGTTTAAATTCATTGATCGAATCATTTATCACTCGGTTGATTCGTTTGCCATTCTGTCAAGGTTTTTTGTGCAGACAATGGGCGTAAAAACAAATAAACAGACGATGGAATGTTTAAAAAAATGAAATAATTTTTTTTATCGATAATTCGAAGCACTTGCTGATGGTGATGGCCAATTCTAGTAGAAAAATGGTGACATCCGGCGCACGCCGCTGGGTCAAGTAGACGACCTCGTATCCTGGGTCTTGGGCCGGTGGACCTTTCGTTCATTTGAGTCTACTCTTGGGTCAATCGGTTAACTGTTTAACTCCTCGCGACCGCGACCATCTGCCCCCTAGGCTAACTCCAGAATCATACCAATCTAACGTCTTACATACACATAGATGACCGATGCATTCATTCATGCTGACTTTCATTCATCAGCCACACTCAATCTTCACCACCATACACATTTTTAACTTTTAACTTGTTCTTTCATAATTATCCTCGTTATTGTTATTATTCTCTTAATGTTCTTTTATATTAAGTAAACTTTGTCATCTTGTAGCTCGTGCCATAATAAAATTCACGAGATTGCAATAAAACGATGCTCGACGGGTGCCGCTGATATGTCTCTCGTGTTATTGCGTAAATGAATGGACAAATGAATGAGTGACTATGACTACATGCTACGACACGACGGGTCTTAATGATGACAGTAATTCATTAAATAAATTGACCAATTGTTGCTAATGTCATCTTGTGTTTGCGGAAATCATTTTGTCCAAATATTTTTTTTAATTA